TTACCACACTTAGGATGTGCTGTCACAACGGTAAATCCCAGTTGCAGATTTACCAAAAGCGCTAAGGGGATTTGTCTGGGATTTCAGGACGCCCGGCATCCTGATCTGCATAGCAGCTCAGACCAGGCTTTTTGCCATTCAGAAGTCTCAGACAAATGACTCGTGAGAGTGTGCAGTTTGCCAGCGCAGCGCATATTTAGTGAGCGTGCAGGGTCTAGGATGCATCTGACATTGGAGGCACGTGCTGGCCACCTGCACATGGTATCTCAGCCTCCCCGACATGCTGCGTGCCGGACTTCATCAAACACCTACATGCACACACGCACCCCCTCTCCTGTCCACGATGCCTGGGCACACCAGACCATGAGACCATGCATACAAAATCCCTGTGGCATGTGGCAAAAGACCTGGCCACACAAGCCCAACCCTCAGGCAGGGTAGTATATGCTCCCCGTACATCCCACGCCACTCCTGTTTCTGTAGTCTCAACCAAGTGCAAAGCAACCTTGCAATTACTTCGCTCACAAAGTTTACACCCTACAGCAAGAGCTTCCTGGCCCACCTCTGTTCTCAGAGATCCGATCCTCTGGCTGCGGTAGGTACACAAAAGGGAGAAATCTCAGTGCACCCACCACTGATGGCTCATGGATGAAGTCTGAGAAACGCTGCCGTACGACACTAAGGAAGGCGAGGCTGAGTTGCTGCTGATACCTGCCGTACTTCCTGCCTTGGAAGTTGCATGTCATCGTATTAGCACAGTTTTGCTAAATTAATTAGAAAAGGCACACCCTTTCCAGCGGTCATCCTGGGTTTTTTAGACATGTCGAATAACTTTACCTTGCTGTCAGTATATCTGGTTTCTGTTTTACACACACAGAAGACAGGAAGAACGGAATTGCTCAAGCCAAGGTTGTGCATATAAGGAACATGAATCTGTCATACAACCCAAACTGGCTCTCAGCTTGAATCTATCCTTTTTTGGGCAGACGGCTTAGACATTTTGAATTTAAAAGGACTCTGGCATTTTTCCTTCATGTCCTCTCATATTTCTTGCTCTGAAAGCTCAGACTAGGACTTTCTGTTCATTGTAGGTGTCTTCCTCAAAGCCAGCTTAAACCTGAACACCTCAAAAAATTCTCAGGAAGGTGGTTTTTGTTTTGGGGTTTTTTTACTTTTAGAGGTAAGAGTTGTGGTTCCCAGTGTTAAATTGCAAAATTTTGAGGGTCTGTTTTTCTGCTAAAAAAAAAAGTTGCTTTTTTTTTTAGCACAGTGTGAATTTGTCGCATAAAGAACTGAGTCCCAGTTTCCAAAATGTTCATATTTTATCTTTTCTGCTATATTTCTTCAGTTAATACTTTACAATTCTGCCTGAAACTGAAGTAGTTTTAGTTACTCTATTGCCTACATACTTTGTCATTTCTAACACGACAGTACTGTAACCCATTTGTTTTCTCAGTGCATCTTTCAGCATCACTTGTACTTCACAGTGCAGATGTCTAATGCAGATCAAGGCAGGCACTGCAGTATATTCTGTTCCAAAAGATATCCCCACCTCCTCATTTGTTTTGCAACATGGCTATCAAAGCATTAAATAAATAACATAATAGTTAGCATATATCCATTGTTTTACATATTCTGAATAGTTTATAAATGTTACATAATTTCTTCACGTGCTGCTCCTGTGAAACAGACAGAGGTGATCATTTTATATGAATTGCAGCTACAAAGCAAGTCAATAGGTAAACTAAATAATCAGATTGACAGCCCTTTCTCAATTTCCGAGGCCAGAATAAATCCCATTTATAAGGAAGAAACAACAAAAAAATTGCAGACCACCTCCTGCAAACAAATGAAATGTAGGCTAAACTTTGATCACAGCTTTTTCTCCATCAGCCTCTAGCCCGAATCCGAAGCCTGAGTTCTCTCCCTTAAAGCTCGTACCCAGAAGCATGGCTCACTGGTCAATGCAATCTTCAAAGTTTCCCATCTTGAACAATTTATTTTCAGGAACAAAGCCTGGAAAAGGTCCAAAAACCCCATGTGGGTTGGCAGCAGCTCAGGATGCTGTCTAGGTGTGTCTGGCTTGCCCAACTTAACAACTCTTTCCACGTCCTCCATTCAGAGCACACTTGTGTTTCGCCATACTGCAGCAACCCATTAACATCTATTCCTTCATTTCTAAAAAGGCTACCAGTTTCTCCCACTAGATCCCCAGCTTTATGGGCTGTCAGACACTTTGGGTTTTAGCTAGTGGCTGAGAATTCGACAGCGAATGTACAGTTTAGGATTTACGGCTGGGAAAACAATTTCCCAAAATATCTGTATGAATGCAATGCCGAAATATGCCACATTATAACGGTGAGTATTCTTTCTCAAAACGGAAGTGTCAAACTTCAAGCACAGCTCTATGCCTGAGATGAGCCAAGAAACTTCTGAAATGAGTAACAGGCCTTGCTCAGCACCCTGCAGCAAAGCAGCCCCCTCCTTCCTGCTCCTCTTCCCCCTCCAGGTAGCCCCGGCACAGTGAAGACTTGTTTCTCAGCTACGCTTTTAAGCCAAACTCCCCTCAATACTGATACCAGGACAGTGTTTCCCAGCTGCTACTCTCAAATTGTTAAATCCTGAAATGGATCCCTCTGAAGGTTATTAGAATCACAGAATCATTCAGGTCGGAAAAGACTTAAGATCATTGAGTCCAAATTTAAACTAATTTTTCATGTGCAGAAACACAGAGGGAAATAAACACTAATATTAACCTGTTCAAACAGCAAGAAATCCCCCCCTTTCTCCCTCCCCCCTGCTTAAAGCCACAAAAATTAAATCCATAAGGGCATTTATAGAGACTATTAGAATCACAGAATCATTCAGGTTGGAAAAGACTTAAGATCATTGAGTCCAAATTTAAACTAATTTTTCATGTGCAGAAACACAGAGGGAAATAAACACTAATATTAACCTGTTCAAACAGCAAGAAATCCCCCCCTTTCTCCCTCCCCCCTGCTTAAAGCCACAAAAATTAAATCCATAAGGGCATTTATAGAGAATGTCTTATTTAGGGAAGAAAACAAAAGTGACTGACAGTTATTTGCCACTGCTGGTAAATAAATTTGCACGGCTTATAATGTTTACCCTGGAGTACGGCTGAAAGATCCATTTGTGCTGCATTAGAAACCCGCCTCAATGACAAACTTCAGCTCCCTGCTCTGGCAAAGCTGATGTATTGACTAGACAGGTAGATATTAGGTGCTCCGACTGTCTGGATGCTATGGAAATCATGCCGCACACATCTGACCGTTGTCAGCGGCAGAAGACAAGCGCCGGCCTCATTCTTATTCTAGCCAGGAAAAAGGCCTCGTCTGCATTAGCCTTTTTACTGAAAGGCTGCCATATTTGTCAGTTCAGACGCATGTAAGATAAGCTCTTTCCCCGTTATCTAATATTTCACCAGGCAGTGGAAACGAAGGATAAGCAGAACCTAATAGTCTATGTGGGCAGGAGATCTTGAATGCTGTCAAGCTCAGCGCAAGGCCTGGATGCCCTAGACAAGGGGAAGTTTACAGCAGAAGTTAATCACTTCATTTTGAAGAAAAACTCACAGGGATTTTGAGAAACGGTTACGACTTATCCTGGCTACGCAGCCAGCAAGGAGACAAGTATAAAACCCTTAGTGCAGCATTATACTCGGTGCCTCTCCCTCCCTATAATGTAGGTACCGCTCGGTTAAAACTGCAGTCCAGTCAAAGGGGATTAAAGAAGGCAGCTGTAAAACTGCTGCTTTCCCTAAGCAGCCGGAGGAAACAGAAGGACAGGCAGGGAGAAGTAAAATGAAAATCCAAATTCTGCGTTCTTGAAATGTCCTGGGCCGATCAGTCCCTTGCACGGCAGCTAGCAGAGAAGCCAAAAGTACCATTGCAGCCTGGTTTACCTGTACTTCTTCCTTCTAAAACTGCCCAAGTCTCACACAGAGTTGGTAGCAACCTGACAAACTGATCAGAAAGGCTCTTGCTCCATCGCAGGGTCCCAGGTGAGCACGTATCTAACAGGCCTTTATGCTGCATAACGTGGATACAACAGTGCTAAGCAAATTCTGAATAAAATTAAGATAGCCTGTTTCAGAGCTCACACTCAGAGTAAGTCTGATGTAACAGCATGTCTGCTTAACAGACACACCATCTTAAACAGTAGTGACTATACTAAATGGTCGCACTACTCCATTTTAATGCGCTGACATGAGAATCAAATCGTATTTGCACAGAAGTGCAGCCCCAAGTATAAGCTTTCAACGTTGTTTTGGCCCACCCAGAATGGCCAAGCTATGCCCAAACGTATTTTTTTTTTCATCTGGCAAAAGTGGATTTTTTGGGCATACTGTTAATAGGTGCCCTGCCAAAACATAAGCGACAGCCTCTGAGGGAAGGGTTACAACACACGCGTCAGATGTGGTATCCAGCATCCCTCTGACGCCTGTTCCTGATCCACTGCCCACATTTTAAACCACTGTGTAAGTGACACGGTGAATTGTGTCATGTGCATGGACTCCTAACGTCAACTCTACGCTTAATACCTCATCTGGTCACCAATAATAATTTTGATCCTCCCTGCAGTCAACAACGCTTTGGCTGTCAATAGCAACAGTCCCAGGATAGCTGCTGTCAGCAGCGCCGCACCGTGCATGCCCACATGTGACGGCAGCTCTGCCGTGTCACCCGCCTGCTCCCATCATGTGACAACGGGGAGTATAGAAAGTCACAAGAAATCTATTCCCAGGGAGTCAAGTGCTCCTCGGCATCAGCGCTTGCTATCCTCGTGGAGTAGGCCAACTGGGGGAAGACGCATGCAGCATGTGAGCCTGCAAGGAAAACAAAGCCTAGCCTGCATCTAATTTTAGGCTTGGCAGCCTTAAGGATGTTCTGGGCCGTCTTTATCTTTGGCTTTTCCAACTCCTCCTCCTTTAAGGTCATACCCTTAAAAGCAGTTGTGCTGCCTCTCGCCCCAGGTCTCTTCCCTTCCCCACATGAGCCCAGTCAGAGGGTGCAGCAGTGTGAAAGCCCTGACCTCCCTGGAAAACCTTCCTTTCAGGGAGCCAGCAGGACACCTCGCCCGGCAAAGACCTCCCAACCTGCTGGCATAGGTGGGACAGAGAAGGGATGATCCTTCGCACTTTATCTCATCACCAGCTGGCTGCATGGCTTTCTGAATCGCCCTTGTCCTCAGGTTGGTCAAGAGCTTCTCTGCCTTTTCTCACATCAACCTTGCGGTGTGTTTGTTTTTTTTTTTTTAAATCGTGTACATTAACCACTTCATTTAAGATGATCAGTTTCACATTACTGGGAAAGAAAAGGGAACAGGGAGGTGCCAGGAGCTGATGCAACATGGAGTCTTCTAGCTGGCTAAGCTCCATTTCCCCTTATAGACCCCCCCAAACCCCAAAGCCTGTCCAACGGGACTCAGATACCCATTCCTCACACAGGAGCAAGATGCCACAGACTAGCTGCTTTGCAGAAATTGCCTGGAGGTATAGGCAGAATAACGCCAAGTATCCTCCCGCTCTCTGCAAGCTGCAAGCTCCCTGCTGCGGCATGCCGGGGGAGGGGAGTGGACGCTGGACCACTGTGTCCCCCCTGACGTGGGGAAGCTGCTCCTCCCCCCAGTGCCTCAGCCCAAGGCTGGTCCCACCATCTAGGTGCGGGCCCTCTCCAAATCGCAGCTGCAAAGAGCAAGCACACCGCAGCAACGCTGCTCCCAGCCCCAACGTCCAGCAAAGTGGCACCCTGTGTTTAGGGAGTGTAGACATGCAAACGGAGAGAAAGGCAACGGTGGCTTTCCAAAATGTTTTCGTTTCACTGTTAATTTCCTAAAATGCAGCAGGGTTTTATTTAAAAACTGGAAGAAAAATACAATAACCTAATGGTGCCCCTTCACCCTTTACAGCATTCCACCTCTGCCGCTGTTTTCCACACCCACACCCGGAGAATGCAGCAGTTACCCACTGCGAAACCACCATGGGGTCCCAGCCCCAGGGGTACCGTACAGCCTCCTGCCCACCTGTGGTAGGGCTGAACAAAAATACCAGCTTCTGGAGCAAAGTGTCTTTCGTGCAGCCATATAACATGACCTCTTCCTTTTACTTCGCATTCTAGCTGCCACTCCGAAGCTTGCACAGACATGAATGATCTCATTTTTTCTGTTTTTTAATATTATTCTTTTTTCAGGGGGAAGGGGGAAACCTTGATTAGACAGACGTGGCTACTTAAAAGCAGTCTCTAGCAAGTCCATTCTCCAATGAAACAATTGGGGCAGAATGGCTCTCTGTTAATGTTATATTTAGTCATTAAAAATGTGCATTTGTGATTCTAAAAGCTGCTAGAGGCAAAACACAACAGAGAGATGATACACACTCAGATTTACAATCAGTTTCCAGCCTGGTAGACTCAGTGAAACTAAAATTAACATTTCTACCTTTCATATGCATTTATGGACAAACATACATTGAGTAATAACCACCACTGCTGTACACATTTGAATCCTCTTTCAGCAGAGGACTAAATGCCTTTTGAAAAACCTAAATAATTTAGCATCATAATAGTGTGAAGTGTGTAAAGACACTTTTATATACTACTGCATCTAGCTCTGGGGTACAGCACGGGGCATGTCATCATCTTAAAGCAACAACATGATGGCTTTGGGCAGGAAATACACACAGCTATTAGATAAAAGGAACAAAAATACTTGAACTGGACTGGAAACCATCACTCAATAGTAATAATAGATAATTAAAATAAAAATAATAATAAAAAATAATACAAACTATACAGTGGGATCTTTAATTATGAGGATCTACAAAGACCTTGGTTTCACATTTCATCCATGCTTGTTAAACACCATCTTGGGTAAAATTAGTTCATTCTCATCATTTATTTGTGTAACGGGAACATAAAGATCCTTCAATCAAGAATCACAACTGCAGTGGCCTGAGCACTGCATAATTTAAAAAAAGACAGTCCTTACATCTACAATCTTGAGGTCTGAAACTACAACAAAAAAGATGAATTGCTTAGGAAACAGGAGGTGAGATTAAGGAGTAAAATGCTCACATCCACTGTGCGAAATTCTGGGTATTCTTAGCTCAACAGCTGCCTAGCCAAAAAAACCCAAAAATCAAACCACCCCGAAGGAAGCCTTTTTAGGATTTTGACAGCAAATATTATTTCCCATATATCAGGGACCATCTACTGAATCACCAAGACAGCTTTCTGTTGCACTAGGACAATCTCCCACCAAGCCACACACAGTAAATGCACAGCCAAAATAAGGGGAGTAGCAGGAGAAATTAGCACCCACTGTCTTTTCTGTATTCCAAATGCTTTCTGCTCTCTTCTTTTCCGAGCAGTGAAAGAAACGGTGAAAACAAGGTCCAGATATTAACAGAAATAAAGCTGTTTCCTATCTTCCTGTTACCTATCTTTTAGTATTTTTGGTGTCTCAAAAACCAACACACACTGGGAAATAATTAAAGGTTTAAAAAACCAAAAGGGCAATCTGAAAGGTTCAACTTAAGTAAAAGCAAATTAACTAGATGGACACACAGTTCAAACGCTGTGGCCATACTACCCAAGAGTCTCCTTCACTACCAGCAGCTGGAAAAAAACAAATCTCAAAGCTGTTTATTTTTTGTTTTATCACCCAAACTTTGCTTTCCTTCCAGACTATGGAGACCAGGAACAGAAAACTATAGCTGGTTTTCCCATAATAGTTTGCAAATTTCACAGCCCACTTCAAACAACTTCTGGCAGAATTTTTTTTTTCCAGAGCTCCTTGGAGCAGGGAACCTTTAATAATTTGCTCCTGCAATGCCAAGCAGAATGCCAAAATGAAAAAAGAAAGGAAAAAAAAAAAAAGGAAAAGCCATAGAGGTAAGCAGAAATGAAATAATGACAAACTAAGCTTCAACGTAAAAAAGTGGAAAAAACCCCCGAATTAAGGTGAGGGACTATATGAAAATAAGCGGGTGAGATGAAACAGGCACCCACGCAGGTGCTCAGAAGTGACGATCTAATGGTCTCTTCTGATTTCACAGTTCAGGAGCTCCTGGCCCACCACTGCCCTATCTGCAGCATCTCCACGCTGGAAAGAAAAGTCTCCATCTACAACTCATTTGTTAAAAAGTGGCTCTTTAGGCTACTGTAAGACAATAATTTACAATGTCTAGATTCACTCTGTGCTTTGCTGCTGAGGAGAGCAGAAACAAACTTACTGTTCCTCTTCTACAGTGGTTTAAAAGCACAGCACAATTTCAAGGGCAGATCAAAGTTAGACTAATTATTTCCTTTCTGCATATCCTATAACTAAATGTAACAGGTCACCAGGGAAGGGTGAAACAAAAGATGAATGTGTTTGCACACACTAACAACAAACACTAAGAAACAAGGACATTATTTATATAATAAAAAGATGCATAAGGGAAAACATCAAAGCCTGTATTAAATATACCAGCCCACAAATGTATCACCAATGGTGCCTAAATAACTAGGGAAATAAACTGGCTGCTCTCTTTCTCCACACTTCAAATTAAACATAACTGCTGAGGCGGTTAAATGCTTCAGGAGCCTTTAGCACTACTGATCATGAAGGTTTGATAATTCTAGTATTGCCCACTTGAAGTTAATCCAAGACTAAAAAAATACGTTTTCATTGCTTTCTGTTGTTTAGAAACATTTGAGTTTACTAAGGCCATACCTTAAAGATTTACACTGCAGTCAGGAAGACTAGAACCATGCTTCACTATATATTTTTTAATGAAACTTGACATTCTTATTTATACAGTTCCAGGAATCAGAGCTCTGAAATACACCAACTATCAGGAGAACTGAAGAGTGGACAAGAATATGATTTGCCTGTAGAAACTCGCAGAAGCAAATAGCTCCTGTTCTGCATAAACTCCTCTCTAGGAAACCTCAGCAGGGATATTTTGCTTATGTTACTGTTCCTTTGTCCTTTTCCCAGGTTACTTCATCTGCTAGTTGAGAAATTGCAAGCTTTTGGGGGAGAAAAACTGTGTAACTAACTCCGGTGTTTTGTCCATCTGTCAGCAACTGCAAAACCATTCTCTGTGGCATATCATAAGCATTCCTACTTCAACCACTGTTTCAAAGTACCTACACAAGGTAAGATGACCCCAGCACACAGGGACTCCTACAGAGAGCACACAATATACAGCAGCATCTGTCAAGGCTCCGGCAACTCTCCAACTTCTGTTAAGACCCATTAAACTCTCCATGATTCAAGAGAGCTTTTGGTACAGGAGCAGTACTGCTTCTTGTTTTGAGATCTTCCCCTGAAAACGATGTTCTTGGACAATATGCTTTCTTCCCCTCAAAGGGCAAAAGAGGTTCACTGGAATAGGAGGAGAAAAGGGAAGGGGCCTTTTCAAGGCAGAGAACTGGCGGTCTTCAGAGAAAGCCCTCTTGAACAGAAAGGTGGCACACAGGACAGAGGGATAGCCACGGGTGCACAGAGCATGGGGCCACCACCGTCAGCTGGGCCTCCAGAAGTGGCAAAGTGTGCAGTCCTGCGGGAATAATACTTTGCATATTTATTGCTCTTTTCTTTCATTCCTGAAGCCTTAGGGAAGGCTGTTGCCTGGCTCACATCCAGGAAAGGTTGCACGGATCAGGCCGAATGCAGACAGAGGGCTACAGCCTGGCACACGGAGGTCTGAACGGCACACCTAAGTTTCTACAGTAAAGCCAGGAGCAACCCCACACTCCTTCTCCATTTCTACACACAAATAAAGGGCCTTTTATTTGCTTGACAGTGCTCTTTATTTTTTTAATGTGTGGCCTTTTACTGTTCCTTGACTGAGAGTACAGATACAGGCATTTCTCACCCACACAGTACTCAAATGACTTTCAAACCTTTGTGTTAGCTTGTCATTTTTGGTAGCTTTCACACCGCTATTGAAACAAAGCTTAGACAAACCCTGAAAACTAAGGATCTCTCCAGACATGTCTAGACTCTCAGTTCAACAAGGCACAATATTTTTGAACTCTCTAACCTTTATGGGAGGTGACCAAAGCCAGCTCAGACAGACTAAACTGACACACCGCCAGCTAATACCCTGAACACCTTAAAATGCAAATAGCTCTAATCTTATTAAAAATGATGCAATTCGCCCTACCGCAACAGCAAGAGGGGGAAGGGAAGCAAAAAATACCGTTGATAGCATAGGCTACTGTTCTCATCAGACAAACAAAACTGTAACTTTTATGAATTATTTCCATTTGCAGTTAAAGAAGCCGAAGAATTACAATTTATTTTTTTTTTTTAAATCCATATTGAGCCCGGTAAAAGACTATATCTAGGCTGTGCGTGGGAGGTGAAGAACTGCCACCATCTCCCAAAGACATGACTAATACAAGATTTGGTAAGTCAGGAAGACAATGCCAAGTCTTTCCTCATACTGTACAACTTGGATGAAAGCAAGTATGTAGGAAGGTAGCTAGAACATGCCAGTGTAGGCTCATGCTGTACCCGCCACTATAAAACAGGTACCTCACTAACTTAGATGGAGCAAACAATGTAGAAACATAGTAAGAAAGTAGCTCTTTGCAAGCCAGAGCTGTTGTATTATCCTGTCTCCTACCTCCAGTGTAGGACAGCAGGAAACCCACAGTCTGTATAATGGAGGAGCTGGGCAGCTGCGGGTCAGTTCTACTTGGAAGAGGGATCGTGCCACCGATGTGGTGAGCCTTGGACACCGCCTGATTCAAATTGCCTAAAACCTACTCATTTACAACCTGTTAAAGTACGGTCTCAATTTCCAGTCCTACAGGGCACACGCTCTGAACATAAGGTAAATGAGGGTTGGCGAAAAGTTCCTTATTCTGATGGGCTACTTGTATCCAGTATCCTGGGAAAATAATGCTGCCTTGGATTTCCGCATGCCCTTCCAGCAAAGGATTTCCAGATTCCTCCCAAAGACTTCCGAGTCCTGAGTCTGGCCCTCAGTGGAAATGCCTCAAGTGAGGATGCCCAACTCCAAGCTTGTGACTACTCACATTTCCAGATATCCAATTCACTCCTTTTCCAGGAGCAGAAACATATCACCAGCCAGGGCTATCAAAGTATCAAAAAGGACACTGATAATAAACTGGTTTCTACCATGCAGTATCAGTAGACGAGCTGTGCTGCAGTAGCAGAAAAGCCTTTCGGCGATGCTAACAAGCAAAGGCATATGGGAGAAAGGACTGCTGGAGCTTTGGAAGCTATTTACTGTGGTAATCTGCAACTGGTGTAGAGCAGCATGTATGGATGGAGTGTGGCAAGTTGACAGAAAGCAAGTAGCAAGCTTCTCTTTTATTGAGGCTTTGCTCAGCTGGGTTGCCGTATGCAACCACCACGGGAGCAAATTCACCATGGGAGGCAAGAGGAAAAAAAGACTGATTTATCTTAAACCCTGTAGAGCTTCTTCATTCTCAGTTTTGCAAAGAGTGCAGCCCCAAAGCACAGATCCTATCACATGGAAGACCTGTCAAAAATAAAAAACTAATCATTCGATAAACACTAGGGCATCAGCAAACATACATTTGCCTCCAGATCATGGATTATTGTTAAATTAGGACAAATCTCTTTCCAAGTGACATCTCAAAGTAAACCAAACCCAACTATACCACCCAGAACCAAATGAACCAAAAGCCCTACAGCCTACTATCCCAACCAGATGCGCACCAACCTACGTTTCTGTCTGTTTTGGATCATAAGAGCGTAACTATGAACCTATTCTCAGGCAAGCATTCCCATGCCATTAAAAAAATCGCTACCCAATCTTCAATACTGAAAACCCTGGTTTAAGTCAGGTCACAAAAGAAAGGATGGAACAGTCCCTGTAACTGAGCTGGGTTTTGCTACTCCTCTGATGGATTTGAGATGAGGGATCTGGTGACAGTCTGCCAGTCATCGGACAAAGGGCCAGCAAGAATGTCAGCAATTAAGGGAGACCTGCATGGAATAGGCAGGATCTGGGAAAAACCTCCAGGATGAGAGTCAGAAACAGGGCAGTCTGCCTGTGCCATGCTAGCCGGAGAGCATCTCCCTGTAGTGGCTGGTGATCTTGTAAAGGGAGTTTCAAAAAGAGCGGGCAGCACAACTAGTGCTCTCTCTCAAGTTGCACTGGATCACAAAACAGATCAATTCCATTAACAAAAAATGAAATTCTGCCACTGTGAGGCACTTTGAGTAATACCTACACCATTGTTTGTTTTTCCAGCTTACACAAGGGTCCAACTGACCAGAACTGCAACTCTGCAGAGAACCTTGCGTGGCTACTGCTAGTTCAGTGCTATCAATTCCAGACTGTCATAGTCTCCAAATTACTGCTGAGTGTCTTTGAAGTCCAAAAATAAGCCATCGTTCCTGTTACCATTCAGATTGCTTTGCAGAACTTTTTCCTGCAGGATCTGAGTGTTCACGTGGAACATGCTGGGTCTTTACATTGGTTTTAGTCTCAGAATGAGTTGGCAAACAAAATGGGAAATCTGAGTACATGGTGGAGCACCAGAACAGCAAGACAGGAGTTCCAGGATTTTCTTCACAGCCCTGCAGACTCCACAGAATTTAAACCCAGCTCAAATGGCAACACTGTTGGAACAGGATAGTGTAAAAAAGAGGGGACAGCAGGGCTTCCAGTTACAAGCCCCACCTTCAAATTGCTAGAAAGACTTGGGTCAGTCATTCCAAGTCAACAACCTAAGACCCCTAGTGCAGAGCTTCACCCAAGGAAAGAATTTTGCTCACGTCTTTTGCTCCTCTTCTTTGGCTCCGGCCCCAGTACGGCGCTGCTGACTGTCTAGCTCCCATGATCTGGCATGTAGAGATAGGAAATCGGAGAGGCACCGATTATTGGGAACATAAGTGGTGCCAGCACAGTGACGAAGAAGCAGGAGATGAGAGATCTCCTCTGTTAACCCCCCATGACCTCGCTCAGCAAATCCATGTGGACGATCACCTCTGTGCGACAAAGAAGGAAAAGATCCTAACAAAAAAATCTTCTGAACACTGAAAGAGGGATTGAGAAATCTTGTGCCATTTTCCTTCACACTGCTAGCTCATTGAGGTTACTGAGTGCAAGGGAGGGATGGTAGATGGACCACAGCTGTTCTACATGGCATGCATCGCTACATGTCAAAGATATAACATCAGAAAAACAACAGGAACCGTAACAACACTTAGAGTTTAACAGTGCTGTTACTGCTAGCCCTGCACTTTTGGAACCTGCCAGGGATGGCAAAGTGCAGAGGAACCATAGTTATCACCAGATGAAGCAGAAGAGAGATCTGGGCACTCAGAAAGCATCCATGATACAAAAGATCCTTTTTTTTCGTCCATTCAGACAATTTTCTTGGATCACCTTGCCAGCACCAAAGAAGGCTACATAAGTTGTTCTTATGCATACAGCACACGCTGCACCATCGCCCTGAACTGGCACAGCCCTGCCCAGAGCCACTGAATCCTTCAGGCTGGAGGGGCCCTGGGAGGTGCCTTGTCTGACACTGTGCCCAAAGCCAGGTCAGCACCGAATCCAGATCAGGTTGCAACTTACATTCTGCTCGTCAGATTGACTGTAAGAAATGCCCTTTAACTCATCAGGACAAGGAGGGAACTCCACTAACTTAAATGAATTAACTTCTAAAAAGACATTAAATTGGTATTGCTTGGGTCTAAGTAAGGCTGGCAAGGGTTTCTGAAAACAGGCCATCTTGGCAACAGGAAATATTTCTCCTAGCATGACAGCACTTAACGGAGTTCATAAAGTTATGCAGGTAACTGTCTCTTACCCCTACACAGCCTATACAAGCTCAGAACCCCTCAGACAGTATAGTTTAAACCTGTCTCTTGGAAAGAATAAGCTACACCAGCAAAATATATATATATATTTTTTTAATAATTTCATCTACCCTCCAGTCTCTGCTGGCACAGCTGAATGTGTTAGGAGAGTGATTTACGCGCAACCCTCGCTGACGTACCATTTTCTAGTGCAGACTAAGCTGCAGTCATTAACTAAGAGAACTTCAGAGTACGACGAGTTTAAAGGAGCTCCCCAACCAGTTCAGAAATACATGTCAAGCAATTTTTAGTAGTATTGCAAACAAGTCACTGATAATCTTTCCTTTACGAATGAGACTTGTCTTTCAAAAGGTTCAACGCAATCATTGTGGTCAATTTTGGAAAAGCACCTTGTGACATTTAAGATTACCCAAAACCAACAGTGCTGGAGGAGGGAGACAAAACTTTAGCGCTAAAACATATGGCTTTACAGTCTGAGGAATGCCAAGTACATACGTTTTACCCTTCAGTTTGCTTTAACACAGTGTGGGTATTATCACTACGAGCTGATTTGATACCTGAAAAACCCTCCAGGTAATGTAAAAGCATGTTTTCAGATGTGCCAGCACTGTAACAGCTCTGCTTATGGCCCACAAGCTGACAGTGACAAAACAGTGACTAGGAAAACTTTCTCTTTATTTAATTTAAACAGAAAAGTTCTCAAATCAGTCAGTGAGTTATACTTGCGCTACCAAGGTAAGCAATTTTCCAAACACACTAGGTTCAAAGCTGCAACTGTCCTACACGCAGGATTCCTGAAACCTCACTGGAGCACTACATTTTTTTAGGAAATAATTATATGTGCTTTCGTTATTTTCCTTACTCTGCTCTCATTTCTGATTCCAGAGGGTTTGTTTTCCCTTGCCCCAAATGACCCATTCCTGCTACCACAAGCTAAAATTACACATAGCTGGCACATACACTGAGAAATATGAAGAATAATTTTTAATGTGATTTGCTTTTAAAGGCAAACCAGCAGTTACTAATCGGTTGACCTAT